ATGAGAGAGAAACATCGATCAGCTGCCTCCTGCACAACCCCCACTGGGAATGTGCCCACAACCAAGGTACATGCTCTTGACCGGAATCGAACCCGGGACCTTTCAGTCCGCAGGCCGACGTTCTATCTACCGGTTAGGGCAAGACTTTTTGCCTTTTTAGCAACTTTTTGGCTGTGTTATGCATCGTACCTCACTGGTATTTTAATTTGCATTTTCCTGATCACTACTTAAGTTGATATGTTCCATATGTTTAGTAACTGTTTTTGTTTCTTTTTTGCGAAATACTTGATCATGAATTTTGCCTGTTTCTTATTGCTTTTAAATGTTCTTTGAATATTGGATACTAACTCTTCATTTTGGGTTGCAGGCATATTCTCCCACTCTGGCTTACTTTTGGTTCTTATTTTTATTTTTAAATATATTTTATTGATTTTTTACAGAGGAAGGGAGAGGGGTAGAGAGCTAGAAACATCGATGAGAGAGAAACATTGACCAGTTGCCTCCTGCACACCCCCTACTGGGGATGTGCCCGCCACAACCAAGGTACATGCCCTTGACCAGAATCGAACCTGGGACCTTTCAGTCCGCAGGCTGATGCTCTATCCACTGAGCCAAACCAGATTTGGCTGGTTCTTATTTTAAAAGTGAATTTTATTTTATTTTATTGTATTGATTTTAGAGTGAGGGAGAAACAGGGATGGGTTGTCTCCTGCATGTGCCAAAGTGGGAATTGAACCAGCTCCCTTCTAGTGTACTGGACGATGCTCCAACCAGCTGAGCCACTGGCCAGGGCTACTTTTCATCCTTTTGACAGTGTCTTCGGACAAAAAGAAATTCTCAATTTTAATGTAGTCAAATGTATTTCTTTTCCTTTTCCCCAAATTTGGATCAGTGGTTCCTGCATGATAGTGAAGAAGTCTGGGCTGTCCCCACTACCCTGTCATGTAGCGAGTGTCTATCTGTGTGCATCTGTTTCTGCGCTCTCTTCAGTCCTGGTTCCTGTGTGTGTCTAATCTGTTTAACTTGCCCATTTAGTTGTTCAATGTAATTTGATTTAAAATATATTCTTAGATGTTCTAGAATCTAGATATTTATTTCTCAAATCTTCATTCATAGTCAGATTTATGTCCTGGTTCGTACTTTTGATATCCTCTTTTATTTCCTTTTAAAAATATATATTTTATTGATTTTTTTTTTTTTTTTTTTTTTTTTTTTTTTTTTTTTTTTTTTTTTTTTACAGAGAGGAAGGGAGAGGGATAGAGAGAAACATCGATGAGATAGAAACATTGATCAGCTGCCTCCTGCACACCTCCTACTGGGGATGTGCCCGCAACCAAGGTACATGGCCTGGACCGGAATCGAACCCGGGACTCTTCAGGCCGCAGGTCGATGCTCTATCCACTGAGCCAAACCGGAAACACCCCAAATGTTCACCAATTGAAGACTGGTTAAACATTGTACATCCGCACAAAATGGACTCATTGCAGAAGATGGGGGTGGGGGTTGGGGGGAGACAAAACAGAAAAAAGAAAGGATGTTTTGAAAGGGCTGATGTAGATCCAGATTCCCAACAGCGAGGTGTGAAGTCAGCCACCTTCTGGGTAAAACAAGTGGACAAGAGGAACCTATAAAATGCAAACCTAGGTCCCCATTGTCCGCGATAGTAACAGAAAAGTCTAGAGCTGTCTTATCTGCCATTTCCAGAAGCCCTAGACTAGTTCTGAATTGCTAGGAAATTGCTATGTGGGAGGAATTGGGGGTCTTTTGTGGTCTTAAGTGTGTCTGGAGATATTTGGGGGTCTCCAGTGGCCTTAGGGGTGCCTAGGTGTGTGTGTGTGTGTGTGTGTGTGTGTGTGTGTATAAATATATTTTATTGATTTTTTACAGAGAGGAAGGGAAAGGGATAGAGTCAGAAACATCGATGAGAGAGAAATATCGATCAGCTGCCTCCTGCACACCCCCCACTGGGGATGTGCGCGCAACCAAGGTACATGCCTTTGACCAGAATCAAACCTGGGACCCCTCAGTCCTCAGGCTGACACTCTGTCCACTGAGCCAAACCGGCTAGGGAAGGCATCTTTTATTTAAAACAGCACCTGAATGTCTTCACAGTGCCCTCTTCCTACAAGGCAGCCGAGTGGGGCCTTTGACACTAATTTCTTTTTTATTTTTATTTTTAAAAATATATTTTATTGATTTTTACAGAGAGGAAGGAAAAAGGATAGGGAGTTAGAGACACCGATCAGCTGCCTCCTGCACACCCCCTACTGGGAATGTGCCCGCAGCCAAGGTACATGCCCTTGCCTGGAATCGAACCCGGGATCCTTCAGTCCGCAGGCCGATGCTCTACCCATTGAGCCACACCGGCCAGGGCTGCCTGGGTATATCTGAGAAGCCACGGGGCCTTGGAGGCCCCCGGGTTTGGGGTCCATGGCCTGACGGACCCCTCCTTCCCCCCACCTTGTCTTCCCGCAGGATCCCCGCGGCCCGGGCGCGGCCTCGGCGGCCCTGGGCGAGGCGGGAGCGGCGCGGCGCTTCCGGCGGGCGGCGCGGGGCGAGTCGGCGGCGGCGGCGCAGGAGCTGGCCCGCGCGCTGGCGCACCTGCTGGAGGCCGAGCGGCAGGAGCGGGCGCGGGCCGAGGCGCGGGAGGCGGAGGACCAGCAGGCGCGGGTGCTGGCGCAGCTGCTGCGGGGCTGGGGCGCCCCCCGCGCCGCCGACCCCGCCGCGGCCCCGGGCCCCGAGGACGACCCCGACGCGCCCGCCGCGCAGCTGGCCCGCGCCCTGCTCCGCGCGCGCCTGGACCCCGCCGCCCTGGCCGCGCAGATGGCGCCCGCCCCGGTGCCCCCCGCGGCGCTGCGGCCCCGGCCCCCCATCTACGACGACGGCCCCGCGGGCCCCGAGGCCGAGGACGACGGCGACGACGCGTCCGATGTGGACCCCGAGCTGCTGAGGTAGCGGCCGCCCGCATCCCGGGCCCCGCGTGGATCTGGGACCCTAATAAGGTGCCCGGATCGTCCCGCTTTGGGCGGGACAGTCCCGGTTTCTAACAATTTCTCCCGCATCCCGTGGCGTTTTTAAAAAGTCCCATTTTTTTTTGGAAAGAATCTTTAACATCTTTCCAAAAATCGGGACTGTTTTCAAACGCTGCGGGACGCGGGAACAATTGTTAGAAATCGGGACTGTCCCGCCCAAAGCGGGACGCTCTGGTCACCTTACCCTAGGAGGGAGCGAGCCCTGGACCCGGGGTGTGGGTAGCGATGTCTGGCTGGGGGACTTTTTTTTGGGGGGGGGGGGCGGGACAGTATGGGGAAGCAGGGCCATCTGGGTCCTAGAGCCGGGGCGTGGATAAGCATCCGTTCTGCTCCCTGCAGGTACCTGCTGGGCCGGATCCTCTCGGGAAACCCGGATGCCGAGGCGGGGGCTACCCAGCGCCGCCGCCTCCGCCGCGCCGCCGCCGACCAGGACCTGGGCCCGGAGGTGCCGCCTGATGGGGTGCTGGGGGCGCTGCTGCGCGTGAAGCGCCTGGAGACCCCCGCGCCCCTGGCGCGCCGCCTCCTGCCGCCCTGAGCACCGCCGGGGATCCTGCTGGCCCTCGGGTCCAGGGCTACCCCTCCCCCCGCCCCCGACACCCCAACCCCTCTGGCCAGGGCCCTCGATCGCTCCTGCCCCCTCCCCCACCCCCTGCTGCCCGCTCCTCCCCCAACACCCAGAAGGCTCCTCAGCCGCTGGCTGGGCTGCTCCTCCGTAGGCGGGTACCCATGGCCACCCCTCCCCCAACACCCCCAGGTCCCCACCCCCAGCCGTAGTTACTGCTCTCAGAACGCCCCAAAATTGCCACCGCGCGCCCCACAATAAATAAGATCTAAAGCAGCTATGCATTGTCTCAGTTTCTAGGGGTTGGTGAGGGTTGCTCTTTTTTTATTATTATTGTTTAAATTTCTTTATTGATGAAGGTATCACATATTTGTTCTCATTCCCCCATTCCCATCCCAAACCCCTCCCCACATATGCCCACCCCCCTGTTGTCCTTGACCACTGGGTAGGCTCATATGTACGCACACAAGTCCTTTGGTTGATCTCTCCCCCTTACCCCCACCCTCCCCTGCCTTCCCTCTGAGGTCCGACAGTCTGATCCATGCCTCCTTTTTTTTTCTTTTTTTTTTTTTATGGCCACTCTTAAACCAGGAAGAGCGGCCCCTCACCTTGGTCTGACTCTTTAGAGACCCCTTCTTTAGTCTGCACCCCACTTCTAGGCCTCCCTCGGGCTTTGGTGCCACTTTCAAGCTACCAGCATAAGAGAAAGGGGGTGGCCTGCAAATCCAGGCTCAGCCCTCCCCTCCCATTCACAAACTGGCATGAAACAGCAGTACCAGAACTGAGAATCTGGGCCTCAGGCCGTTTAAAAAAAAAGTTATTTGTCAAGATAGAGTGACAGGACATATCTTACATTTGTTAGCTTGACCTGTAATGTTTACATATTTCCATTGGATAGAAGCCACCCTGTCCGTATTGCCCAGCTCTGGAGGTCCTGGAGGTGGTGTTGGCAGCTGGTCTGTGGTCATGGCCTTTGCATTGGCAATTTTCTTTGCCCCTAGCTACCTGTGAGCTAATGTCACCTACTCAATAAGGCGTTCCTTGACCTCCCTGTTCTGCTTTATCCCTTCAGCTGCCTTTAATACACAGTCTTGTGTCATACAAGGGCAGGGACTGTGTGTGTGTGTGTGTGTGTGCGCGCGCGTGTCTGCACCCAAAGCCAGGCCCGGCACACAGCGAGGGGGCTTCCCCCCATTTCTTGAATGAATGAGCTCTCCCGATCCAACTACCATTCTCCCCAGTTTCGCACCCAGCCACCCACATAACGCTCGGCACGGAGGCAGCTTTGAAACCTGAGAACACCATTTATTTCATTTTCCACAAAATCTCCGAGCTTGACAAAACATAACCAACAGTATCTTCCACAATAACAAAAAGCCCGCCACCAAACAAACCCCCCCCCCCCCCGGAAGAGGGGTCCAGCTACCCTAAACACACCCGGTGTCCCACCCAGCTAGGCCTGGGGTTCTCACACAAGGAGGCATCCCCCTGGCCCGGGGGACGGTCCATGTTTCTGACCGAGACCTTCAGGCCACGGAGCAGCCGCAGTGGCACATGGTCTTCTGGTGGCGGGACTTACTCTCAGGCTCCTTGGCCATGGCCTCCTGCACCTTCTGGATCTCGTGGACGAGCAGGGCGAAGGCCTCCTCCACGCCCTGTCTGGTTTTGGCCGAGGTCTCCACGAAGGGCGCCCCCCAGCTCTTGGCCAGGGCCACAGCGGCGGCGTGGGCCTCTCCAGCGGCGCTCACCAGGTCGCACTTGTTGCCCACGAGGACGAGGGGCCGGGTGTAGTGAGGGCCCCAGGTGGCCCGCATCTGCTGCAGCTGCGTTAGGGACGCCGGGTCATCCAGGGCGAAGACACCCAACACGCCATCCCCCGCGGCCAGGCACTGGTCTCGCAGGGCCTTGTGGGTGGGCTGGCCGGCCGTATCCAGCACATTCAGGATGTAGCCGCCGTGGTCCAGGGTCACCTCCTTCCAGTAGGAATCCTGGATCGTGGGGTCGTGGTCTTCCACGAAGCACTGGTGGTTCAGCTGGATGGTCAGGGCGCTCTTGCCCACTCCACTGGCGCCCACCACCACGGCCTTGTACTCCGGCAGCTGCTTGCCCCTGGAAGGTGCCGGAGCCTTGCGGCTCTCCTCCTGACTGCCAGGGCTCCAGGTGCCCAGGCCCAGATCAAGCATGCTAGGCTTTTTGGGGCGCGCCATGCTCAGGGAAGAGAAGAGATGCAGACAGCAGGCCCTGCCGCTGGGAAGAGAAGACAGACAATGGGGGGGGGGGGCGGGGGCCAGGCAGGGGGAGTTTAGGTGAGGAGACCATGAGGACAGAGGGCAGCTGGGGTCACTGAGTCAACACTCACTGCGTGCCCAGCGCGTGCTAATCACCATCTAATATGCTACACCCATTATTTATATGATTTTTCTCTCCCTCCCTTCTGCTACCTAAAGCTCTGGGCAGGCAGGGGTTTTAAAAACAGCTTTGTTGAGATAGTTTTTACACCATAAGTTAACCTAGTTAAAGTGTACAATCAATGACTCAGTATATTCACGGAGCTATGCAGCCATCAGCAACCTAATTTTGGAACATTTTCTTCACCCCAAAAGGGACGACCCCCCCTTTACCCCCCCCCACCCCCGCCATCAGACTTCGTTGGCTTGGCTTTGAGTTTTTAACTGTTGAAGCCCAGCCCAGCACAATGCCTGTCACCCAGTAAGAGCTGAGCAATATTCCTCCTCCCCATCCCTCCCCGGGGAGCATATGCCCTAAGGTGAGGACAGCGAACCAAATAAATAAGCAAATTATGAGGTCTGTAAGCCGGTGTCTAACATTCAGTCTTTATTGCCTATTCAACACGCCGCTGCCAGGAACCTACCGCGTGGCAAGGTGGGGGTGGGGGGGGGACAGACACCAAACCTCGGCCCTCAAGAATATGCCCATGCAGTCAGGAAGACAGAAAACAACAGAGATATTTCAGCAACAGGTGGGAAGCATGCAGAGGTGCTCGGCTCATGTTAGCATTTGTTAGGATCCCGTTTTCATTCATTACCGCGGGAAGCTCCTGGCACACCAGGCACGGTGGGGATGGGGGCAGTGGGAGGTGTGGCGGTGGGTACGCGGGCGGTAAACAAAATAAAGTCCCTGCCCCAGGGAGGATTAGATTTGAAAAGTGAGAAAGAGACCGTAAACAAGATAAGTAAATTACCGAGCAATTAGGAGAGCATGGGCACACAGCGGGCGCCCAGCGAAATGAGTGTTATCTATTAATAGCAAATCACCGTTCCCTCATTCAATACACATCCTGATCTCCGTCCAGTGTGTGGCCTCAGGAAATGCATCTGAATGGCCGTTCTCCCAGGAAAGCCAGGAGCGATGGCAGTTTAGGGGTGGATGTGTGTGTTTGTGTTGAGTTTCGGAGCCAGAGGCCAGTAAGGCCCAGCTGTGTGGTCCTCAGCCCGAGCGAGCCCTGCATAGTTAACGGATGTGCTGGCCCGGGAAGGGGGCGTGGTGAGGAAAGAGTTAAACAGGACAGAGTTCGGGGGTCCCCAACGTTGGGGAGACAGAAAGAGGGAGAAGATTTAGCTCTGAGGACAAACTGGGGGGCGGGGGTGAGGGTGGATGTGGAGAGGATTCTGGTCTATTCCGAAGGTGGAATGAGCTGGCAGGTGAAATTCAGAGGCCGGGGAGGGGGGTCACGGATGGCTCCTGAGCTTGGGGCCCGGGCAGATGGAAACCCGGGGGTTCCATTATCGGAGGGTGGGGACGTTTGGGATGGGCTTTTCCCGCTTGGCAAGACGCCAGGGCTGGGGCCGTGACTCTAAAAGCACTAGGTATTATTTCCTGAGGACCCATCTACCTGCCGGCCATGCCAACACCCAGGTCCCCTGACACCCTGGGAGGAGTGGGCGACCATCCGCGCAGCCGCTCTATGGATGGGGAGCAGCGAGGGGGGCTCGGAGAAGCCTGAGGTCCCGCAGCCCATCAGGGACCCACCGAGGGCAGGTTTCCCCTTCGCAGCCACTTGCTGCTCTTGGAGTATCATTATGGGGTTCTTAAGACCAGGACACCCCCCTCCCCCACCCCACTGCACCCCACCCCCATCCCCGCTGCCAGGACCGCATCCTTTGTGTGTCCTTTGTGTTCGCCTAGCTACCTGTGGGGGGTGGGTTGGGGGTGGCAGATTCAGGGGGAGTAGGGGTGGGGGGAACACCCCAATGGGAGCCCTTACAAGCCCCCCTTGCAGGGCTAGCCCGGGACCCCTCCACCGTGCTTCCCCGGGACGGAGCCAGGTGCAGTGGAGTTTGGGGCGGGGAGGACTACTCCCCAATTTTACCCTAAATCCCTGACCCTGTGCCCAGTTCGGACCATCTCGGCCAGTTTCTCTTAGGCGGGACGGGGGGGGGGGGGGCACGGGAAGGAGCCCCTCACCCTGAGGCTGGGTCTGCGGGTTCGCAGCCCCATTCCCGCCTGCACGTCCCGGCCCAGCTCGGCCTCCACTAAGCCGGAGGCGGGAGGGCTGGGATGTGGTGGCGCCCCCCCCTCCCCCAGGAGGAGCGGCAGAAGAGGAAGGGTCCCCTAAAACCCACCTCCAGCCCTAGGGGGAGAGCCCTCCCGGGTCGGGCTGGGCTCGGCTGGGGGTCCAGCCAGCGGCTCACCTCAGTCCGGGAGAGGAGATGCGCTGGGACCCGAACTCGAACTCGCTGCGGCTCTGACAGGACCAGCAGTGCGAGAGGGGCAGCACTACCCCCGAGCAGAGAGCAGGGGGCGGGGGATACGCATGCGCCTGGCCCGCCCCCTGGCCCCTGCCCGGCAGCTCCTCTCCCCTCGCTCGCTCGCCCCCCGCCCGGAGTGAGCGGGTGAGCGCAGGTCTTGCCCTGCTGGCTGGTGCCGCCAAGGGAGTCTGATCGGGGTGCGCTGCCAAGGCCAGACCTGCGCGTGTGCCCTCTGCGTGTGCCCTCTGCGTGGGGCTGCGCCTCGCCCTTACCTTGCCCCGATTGGGGCTGCGGTTTGGGGGTTTTAGTGTATTTGGGATGTCGGATTGGATTTTGACCTGAGTGGCTAGGCTTTGGGAAGTGTTTTGGAAGAGCCTCTTTGAGGCCACGGAGCCTGCGCTGTGGCAAGCAGGCTTTTTGGTAGCTTGGGAGAGGGTTGTCTGTTCCTGGAGGGAAAGGCGCCAGAGAGCATCATGTCCATGCCTGGAGGGAAAGAGTGGCAGAGGAGTGGTTATTCTGTCAGGGCATACGGTCTGGTATGAGGCAGACATGTGCCAAGGTTACATTCCCCAGACTCCCTTGCAGCTATCAGTCACAGTTCTGACCAATGAGATAGAAGCAGGGGTTGCTGGAGGGGGCATCCAGAATGTTGCTTAAAGGAAGGACTGAGCTACCACAGCTCCCTTCCCCTTCCTCTTGCCTGGGTGGGGCTCTGGTGATCATTTTGGGGCCATAATATGGCCTTGAAAAGTCCAGAAAACCTCAGCCTTGGACTTGAGTTGCCAAATTCTCACGTGGGAGAAATAAAACCTCCAAACTGTCCTCCATTTCCCAGCCCTTGGTCCATCGCAGGTATTTCTTCCCCCCAAGAAGCTACTACCCATGATTATAAAATTTAAGTATGTTAAACCTGGACATGCCCCTCATCCAAATCAGAAAGACAGGTGGGGAGACTGAGGCCTGACTGTGAGGCTCCTATTTCTAAGGCACTTGTTTCCTCAGGATTCTACCATTTAATGTATAGTGGAGCCAGTCACGCTGTGAGCAGGGGGTTGACCTGACAAACACCTATGTCCTGTTGGCCAGGAGTGTGGGGTTCTCCTCCTACATGATTAAAGGCTTTCTCCAGGCCTGGCCAGTGTGGCTCAGTTGGTTGAACATGGTCCTGTGCACTGAAAGGTTGTGGGTTCAATTCCTGGTCAGGGCATGTGACTGGGTTGTGTGCTTGATACCCCACAGGGGGCATGCAGGAGGCATCCGATCGATGTTTCTCTCTCTCCCTTTCTTGTTCTCTAAAAATCAATGAAAACAGTCAATAAAAACGGCTTCCACCAGGTTTTGTAACAGCTTGTACTTTATTACATATGCAACCCCACTATACCTGCCCCTTGCTTCCCACTCCCTCCAGAGTATCATCTTCTTGATATCAGCCCCCTCTGAGGCAACTAAGCTATCCCGTTCTCTCCGGGGCAGAACAGACGGGAGCCCCTAGAGCAGTCGGTGGGCAGGGGGGAGCTACAATTAACCATCACAGTCCTCTTAACAGGTATTTAAACTTCAATCAGCACCCTTGGGGGGTTGGAAAGGGGTTTCAGGAAGGATGGATGAAGCTGCCCCTCGTCCAAGGTACAAGTTGGAACGAACTAACGCTGGTCTATCTTGGGCCTCGGAAGGCGGAGCAGAGGAGCACGTTGGGAGTTAGTGTGAGTGGGGCATGTCTTCCCCGAACTTGTTCTGGTGGGCGACGTTCTTCACCTCTAGGAGAGTCTGAGGAGGAGGCAAGAGAGAGTGGGAAGAAAGAGTGAGGACCCCCTCTACCTCAGCCAGGAGGCTGCCCCCACTCCAGCCCTTAACCACCCTGTCTCCTGGACCAGCCCACACGCAGAAGGGCCTCCATCGCCCCCTTATCCGATCACAGAAGGGGTGTGTGTGGCGGGAGTGAGTGTGTACACATTAGAGGCTCCTGCCTGGGGCTCACCTGGTGGTGAACATAGGCCTGACATGGGTAACACCAGGTAGACAGGTCAGTGTAGCTGAGGACCAGTGGGTGGCCTGAGCTTTCGTAGTGCCGGACCATGTGGGCATTGATGTAACGGCTGCAGTAGACCTGAGGGAGGGAGGGAACGTTGGGCAGGGATCAGCACCCACCTGTGGTTTGTCCCTGGGCCAACCTCAGCCCCATCCCCATTCTCTGCTGCATACCTCGTAGCAAGACAGACACACCCAGTTCTCCTGAGGTGCTCCACAGTCCTGACAAGGTTGGGTCACATCCAAGCCTGCCTCAGGAAGGGGGCGTACTGCCACCAAATGGGGACACCAGGCCAGTGGTGTCACAGCGTAAAACGTGGCCTGGGGGGAGGGAACATGGCACAGGTGGGTGAAACGGAGTAAGGTAGGGTCTTATCTCCCCATTAGATGTCCCTGCGTCACATGCTCCTACTGGAGGCACACCCGGGGAAAAGAAGGAAGCCACAGTTCCGTCCACTCCCTGAGCTCACCTGGTCAATGTTCCCAAAGGCCTGCAATGGCACGGAGTCATCTATGTCTCGACCTCCAGCTGCCTCTGGTAGCCCCTCCTCTTCTGGGGCCTCAGACTCTGGGGCCTCCTGGATACAGAGGCAAGAGATGCATCTGGGTCCTGATTCTTGCCCCCTTCTTCCCTCTACCTGCGTGTGCCGGTGGGCCTTACCTGAGCCTTGTCGTCTAGCTCCAAGGTCCTGAGATTCCCGATCAGCGTACTGAGGGAGATCTGGGAGGTGGCTCCTGGCACAGGTGAGGTAGGAGGAGTCTGGTTGTCAGTGCTTGAGGCTTGAGGGGTTTGGCTCAACTTGGCTCCTCCCACAGCCTCCTCTGTGGTGGTCTGGTCCAGCGCGGCTTCCCCCGCGGCGGCCTCTGAGGTAGTCTGGTTCTGTGTGGCTGCCTCGGAGGTGGTATGGTCCAGCATAGCTCCCCCCGAGGCTGCCTGTGAGGGCTGGTCCTGAGTGAGCTCCACAACAGGTGGAGTGGACTCTTGCGCAGATGCTGCTGATGTGGCCTTCCCCAGGCTTTCATCCAGAATGTTCTCTTCTAGCTTCTTAGCTGGCCCAGGATTGGCTGCTTGGGGTGCCTCCTTGGTGACCGGCTTAGAACTGAAGGGTTCTTCCTTGTCTTCCATCTCTGAAACCACGGGAGGGACATCCTTGAGTATGGGTGCTATCCCCTCTCCTGCCTCTAATCCCTGCCCTCCCTAGACCCTCACTGTCCCCAATTCCCCATGCCCACTCACTCGTGGTCCGCAAGCTGCGCCAGTATCTGCGATGGACTAGGATGGTATCAGTGATTGATTCCAGGGCCCCTAACAGTGGGGGCCGAGACAGGGTCAGCACGGGTGGCGGGTCCCCAAGGAGGGTGCGGGTACAGCAAGCCATGGACTCGGAGATGGAGGCCAGGTTATAGCCACCCTTTTTCAGGAGAAAGAGAGTGGAAGGTATGATGGAGTGTCCTCAGGGAATTTGGGAGGCATGATGTCCTGCTTCCCAATCCCGCCTCAGGGCCCTGCAAGCCTAGAAGGTGGCAACTGGGACAAGTGAAGAGAACCCACGTTTGCCAGATGGCAGTACCCACTGTGAGAGGTTGTTGTTGAGGGGGATAAACTGTGATGTGAAGTGCAAGATAATAACCACCAGAACAATAATGCTGATAGTAATATCAGTAATAGCTGCTGTTCATTACGTACTTGCTGCATGCTAGGCCCTACTCTAAGGATCTTATGCTATTAACTCAGTCCTCAAACCACGCATGCTCAATCTGTGTAGGAATGTGTCTTCACGGTACAGGAACCCACAGACACCCCTTCCCCAAACCTAGCACAGAACAGCTGGTCTTTCTCTCCACATGTACCCCTGTCCTAACTGGTATGGGAGCCCCTTTTCTCACACTCTATAGGAAACCAGTCTCTGCTGCTATTACAGATAAAGAAGCTGAGGCTCAGAGTGGTTAGATGACTTGTCTGAGGTCCTAACAGCTGAGAAGAGGCAGCGCTGGGCTCAGAACCTACGCTGTCTGGTGAGAGTCCATGTTCTTAACCATCACCCTGCAGTGCCACAGGCAGCCTGGGCACACTGAGATAATTTTTACTAGCCGATCAATCAATCTCTCTGCGACTTAGTGAAAACAAACATATAAAACTGCTAGTGTATTAATAGTGCATAACCATCAGAAGCTGTAGCACTTCTACAGTGCTTACCGTATGCTAGGCACTCTTCCAAGATTAGCCAGCCCCATCTTACAGATGAGGAGATTGAGGCCCAGGGCGTGGGAACACGGAATCATTTACAAAAAGTCAGTGAGTTTAAACTGGATAGAGATAGTTCAAGTAGTGGTGAAAAGGACAGGCTCTGGGGTCAGGCTGCTTCGATTCAAGCCCTGGCTCTGCCACTATTAAACGTGTGGCTTCTGACTAGTCACTATATCTCTCCGTGCCTCAGTTTCCCTGATCTTGAGAGGAAAATGACGAGGTCAGTGGACCTCACCTCAGAAGGCTGCTTTGTCAATGAATTAACAATGCCAGTAAAGTGTCAGAAGAGTGTCTTGCTCATAGTAAGCACTCAATGGAAGTGGTTAATGCTGGTGTTATTATTAATGTCCAGGATGTGCCAACAATGCCAGGTGTGGACACTCAAAGGAGATTTTAGGAAATCGCCCTCAGTGTTGCAGCCAGCTGGCAGCAAGGGCAGGACTGCAAGTCTTCCCAACCACCCCCAGAGTGGAAAGAGGGACCGAGGGAGTTACCTCTAGGATTAGGATGATCCGGCCACTGGCAAGGCCCATCAGCAGGTGAGTGAGGTGGGCATAGCCCTCAGGTGACAGATGGCAGCCCCCCAGCGGGTCTCCCCATGCTGCATCAAAGCCAGCTGAGACCAGCACCAATTCTGGGTTAAACTGAGGTAGGGAGAAGAGAAATGCACGGACGTGAGAGGAGGCGGGCTTGGGTATATAGTCGGTGAGGTAGATCCAGAGGCACTGAGACATGGGAGTTAGAGTCTGGGAAACAAGAGATCAGAGCCCTGAAACCAGGGAGGAAAGACACAGAGACACACGACAGACAGACATGGAGAAGATGGACAGTTAAGGACATATCAGACCCAGATTTAGAGACACGGAACACTAGGAATGGGCAGATGGGGACTAGAGGCAGAGTCCTGAGACGTGAAAACTCAGCCATCAAGAAATGGTGACATGAAACACACACACAGAGAGAGAGAGAGAGAGAGAGAGAGAGAGAGAGAGAGAGATGTCATCACACACATGCCCAAGGGTGAGAAAGAGATAGAGACTCCTCTCCCTGGGTCAAACATGTGATACATGTGCAGAAGTTACAAGGTTTTATATATATGGTGCCAAAGACAAGTGCACACGTACTTCCATCACAGAAAATGACAATCAAATGCCACACACAGAAGATGGTCACCTTTGGATGGGACTGCACGTCCTACTAGTCATGTACATACAGTTTCTCATAGAGGGGACAGTAATCCAGTCACCCCTGCACAGATACAACCGTATATGTGCCATCACTACATGGTAACAAGTCAGACACACACACACACACACACACACACACACACACAGTTGGTCACTTACACACATAGTCACACACACAGAAGGTAGTCACAGCCACTGTGCATCAGACACATGCACATATCTGAACATGTGCATCTGCACAAAGGTCAGAGATGACGCATGTATCAGCATTCTGAGTTAGCCACACACACAGTCTGCCACAGACAGACACAGTTTACACATGGAAAAGGTGGTTACATACAGCCACTCATGCAGAACCAGGCAAATCTGATACAGGCCACCTCCAGTCAGAGATAGACACAAACAGCCAGAAAGATGACTGTCGCACACAGCCTTCCATGTGCAGAAAGTCACTAACCGGCTGTCACAGAAAGAGCATGCATGACACAGAAGTGGTAGAAACAGCTGCTTGTGCAGTATCTCACATGTACTCAAACCCCTCCCCAGTTTGCACATGCAATTCTACAGAGAGAGCAGTCACTTGGGGCCACCATCACATACAGACAGCCACTGGTGATGGTATACACACAGGACACACAGCTGGGAACACGAAGACCACCCCACACACCAGGAAGTTCCTCACAGTTGCACGCAGAGAAGGCAGTCACATATGCAAAGGCCATCACAGCCCCCCCACCCCACCCTTGCTGTTTGTCCCACAGGATCAGTCACCCGGAAGTCAGACACATGTGCACGCACTGCTGTCCACACAGCCGGGTCACATCCATCCTGAAGCGTACCTCATAGGCAATGGGCAGCACCAGACGATGCCAGGCAGCCAGGTACTCAGAGTCCCCCATGCGAGGCCCATTCCAGGCCACGTTGACGGTGAAGCCTGTGCCTGCGGCCCGGCCCACCTGGTTGGGGGCGCCCTCATCCCCCATGGGAAAGAAGGTGCCATAATCATAGCGGTGCAGGGAAATGTAGAGCACACTGCCAGAAACAGGGTGGGGAGGGGTCCATGCCTGGTTAGCAGCCTGGCACCCCTGAAGCATGGCGCACCCACCTCCCTGACCGCACCTACCCCCAGGCCCAGCCCCTCACCTGGGGTCCTCCTCAAATATGTGCTGAGTTCCATTGCCGTGATGCACATCCCAGTCTACAATCAGGATCCTGAGGACCGAGAGCTTGTCAGTTACCCAGGACACGGGCCCCCTGGGAGAAGGCAGGGCCAGACCCTGGGACCTGTCTGCCGGGGCATACACTGTGGGTGGCCAGATCCTGAGTCCCTAGGGAAAGTGTTGGGGGCAAGCCTGCGGTTCCTATCGAAGTAAGGATGGCAGCTGAGGCTGGGTCCCGAACAAGTTCTCAAGCTAGACCCAGGCCCTCTGTGGGTTGGCATGGGGCTTGGACCCTGGGTTCTGCCCGGACAGTCGTCAGGGGCCGGAAATCTGGGAAGGGACCCAGGTCCTGGTTCATACCACCTGGATACCACAATGTTGGGGTCTTCTCCAAGGAAGCACTGAGGCCAGACCCTTGGCTATCTCTGGGTAAGTCCTGGGGGCTGAATAGGGGACCTGCTGAGTCAGCACTGAGCTGGGGGGTGGTGGCAGGGAGTCCTCACCGCAGTGGATGCCCACTGATGGCCTGGGCATGGCGAGCGGCCACAGCCACAGAGTTGAAAAAGCAGAAACCGCAAGCAGCATCCTGCTCTGCATGGTGACCCGGAGGGCGCACCAGGGCAACGCCATTCAAAACCTGGGGGGAGGAGCAGGGAGCCAAGGTCAAACCACTGTCCTCACTGCTTCCCTTCTCCATGTCCCCTTGCTTGTTCTCTCCCCTCCCTCCCACTACCAGCTGCTGGGGGCCGATCCTGCAGCCACATCGCCCTGAGCAAGGCCGGGGGTGAGCAGGGCTGTCCTCCTCACCCCCCTTTCCTCAGAGTGGCCTCTCCCTCCCCCAGGACCGCGTCTCCCAGCCAGAGCCCCATCCCAAAGCAGCCATACCTCTCCTGCCAGCACAGCCTCCACAAGGCAGCATGTGGCACCAGTGGCCAACTGGGCACTGGCAAAGGTGCTGGGGCAGATGTAGATGGAGTCAAAGCTGGCACTCTCACGGTACAGCTCCCGGGTTCTCATTTTCTCTGTGGCCCGTAGACGAGCCACGTACTCAGCACTGGAGGCACAGAGCGGGCATCAGGAATGGCCACGTGGTTCGGCCCCCTCCAAGGCCCCTCTTGCGACCCCCAGCAGCAACTCATACCCAGGCTCCAGCTCCCAGGTGGCATGTGTGCACCGAGGCCCCATCCCACCCCCAGGCACGAGAGTCTGACCTATGGCAGGTGAGCAGCTCGGCGTCTGTGGCAGGACGTGCGGGCAGCATGAGACAGCGCCCCGCAATGCCCAGCTCCTCCAGACGGCACATGATCCGGGAGACACGCTGGGGCACCTCGGGGTGTTGGCTGGGAGGTGGGGACAGAGGCAGGGCTCAATGCTTGAGGGGGGGGAAACCCCTGCCCACTTACACTCAGCCCAGTGCTCCAGTCGCTTACTTGTCCCACATGTTGTAGTGATCCATCATCCGCTGGTCATAGACCAGCCCGGTGCGAGTCTGAAACATTGGCCACATTGGTATTGGGAGCGCAGGAGGCGGCCATGTTCCCTCCTCTTCCTCCTCCTCGTTGTCTCCATCTTCGTTGTCCTCGTCCACGGAGTCACCTGCAAGGGGAGATGACACTCACCCTACTCCCCCGCCCTGAGTCATGTAATACTCAGTAACCCAGTTTACTCAAACGTAAAAAGGGGGGGGGGGGGAAGAGGCCTGAAACCAGGACCCAGTGAGAGAGAGGGACTGACCCTCTCCCACCAAGGCAGCCCGGAAAGTCAGAGTAGGTTCTAGAAGACAGTCTTACCCCACGGCTCATTCCATCCCTGATCCCCACGCCCCCATTAAACCTGCTCCTGCCTCCTACCTGATCTCACAAGGATCTCCCAGAAGGGCGCCAGGGCTTTCAGAGCGCAGGACAGGGATGCCTGGGCACTGGAGGGCAGGGGAAGGGAAAGAGTGACCAGATAGCCCCAAGGTGGGCAGTGAGGGCACCATTTTCTCCCTCTACCATCTGAGCTTACCTCCGGCAGGGGGCCCCGGGGTACTCGAGCATGGGGCAGGGGTCACCCAGAAGAGTGTGCAGTGAGGCGCTGACTCCCTCAGCCAGGGAGCGGAGATTGTAGCCACCCTGGGAGAATAGGGTGAGCAAGTTAGGGAAGAGCCAGATGTTACCAGAGAAGAGTAGTAGTAACATGACCACTAGGGTGCTGACTACATGTTGAGCAACAAAGAACTTAGAAGGTGACTTCCTTTCACTCACTAAACAGTGCTTTGACATGACTACTACTATTATCACACAAGTCCAGTGACTTAGGCGAGGCTGTCCAGTGAGGAAGCGGAAATGCTGGGATAGGAACTCATGCTGGACTTTGCAAGCTTTGTTATTATGTCCTCTAGGATTTACGGGCTCTGAGACGGAAGTGAGTCACTCACCTCCAGAGACAGGATCAGCCTGCCTCCTGCCAGACCCATGAGCAGATGGGTGAGCTGGGAAAACCCAGCGGGAGTGACGGCCATTTCACCCTGGGAAGACATGGAGAGTCAGTCTGGCTCCAAGCAGCCCCCTCTGCCTACCTGCCATTCCAGAGAGCCCGCCTTACCTTGGGGTCCCCTTGGAGGGCATCAAATCCAGCGGCCACCAGAACCAGCTGGGGCTGGAACTGAGGGGGGAAAGGACTACATGAGGCCACCTGTCCTCATGGCCCACCCCTCACTGTCACCCTGCACCAAATCATCCCAGACCCCCGGACCTCAAGGGCGACCGGCAGCAGGATTTGCAGGAAAGCAGCGATGTAGTCGGCATCTCGCATCCCAATCTGCAGGCAGAGGCACACGGTGGTGAGATGGGACACACTGCCCTCTGTCTTGAACCACTGAAGGGCAGGGTGAGCTTCACTCTGGGGGCAACAGGTGGGCAGACACTGACCTGGTTCCAAGGCACATTGATGGTATATCCCTGGCCGTGGCCAAAACCAGTGGTGGACCAGTTAGAGGCCTTCAGGTGGGGCCAGAAGCGACCCTGCTCATAGCGGTGGATGGAAAAATAGAGCACACTGGGGCAGAGAGAAAGAGATCGGGGGATTGAGGAGTCAATGCACCAGGCACTCCCAAAATACAGCTACCACAGCTGTTCAACCACCCATTCATTTTCTCATTATTTTCCCTATTAAATCTTTAATTCAAAGTCATTCATTTTTTCATGTTTACCTATTTCATCACTCATTCATTTCATCTCTTACTGGAACGCCTCCCTCGGCAAACACTGCTGCCCCCTCAATGCCCAACCAGGTCTTTCTCAGAGATCCTGAGAGTGGATCTATCTTAGCCCCTGAGAGCTCCTTACCCCGTGGGGACACTAGGTCATGCCCGCCCACCCACCTGTCCCTGTGTCCAAGGTGGTAACAGTAGGACAAACCCTGTGACTGTGGAGGCCCATATGGGGCTTTGCATTGGTGGGAGCCAGCTGCGGCTGCCCAGGGCATCAGGCCAGGCTCGGGAGCTTGGTTTCTCCTAAATAAAGTGGGAGACTGGGAGGTTGGAGGTAGGAGCTGTTGTGTGTGTGGAACTGGAGTGGGGGTGCTGGCGAGGGCTCTATGTGGCCAGTGAGGGGACAATTCCCTCTGCACAATACCTTACGGCCACCTCTAGTACTTCTTTTATTGTGTAGGTGAGAAGCAGAGCACTCAGAGCAGTGAGGGGGATTGCCACACAGGACAGATATTGAAAAAACACAATGGTCCCTCCAGCGGGCCGTGGGAGGGCTTAATCCTGATTGAGGCAATCCAAATGAATAATCTCCTATCCATCCACCCATCCATCGGTTCATCGCTCCCTGCCTTGTTCCAGGAAGGATTTAAGGCAGCTTTCTTCCCTTTTAGGGAAATGCATGACAGTCCCATTTTAATGAATGCTAACAATGTAGTCATACAATTTAATAAAATTGACAAAAAAATATTTATGAAATTCAGAAAAATGTATTAGGATTAGGGAAATTTATATGAAAGCTCTGGTATTGATTAGCTGGGGAAAGGATTGAGTTTTATTTTATTTTTACTCTGATAGGTAAATACCAGTTCTAAACTTTTTTTTTTTTTTTTACTAAGTTAGCCATTAAAGGGAGAGGAATACCCCACAGGACATAAAGATTATTATCAGGGAGAGAAAATAATGAAAGAAAGATTTGAAGAAAGGCAACCCCACAAGAGAGCCACCAGAATTAAGAGAACTAACACTCAGTAAACTAAGCGTATAAAGTTTTAAAATAAGTTTAACTGGTCCTGGCCGGGTAGCTGGGTTGTTTAGAGCATCATCCTGATATGCCAAGGTTGCGGGTTCGATCCCCAGTTAGTGCACATATAAGAATCAACTAATGAATGCATATGTAAGTGGAATAACAGATCAATATTTCTTTCTCTCCCTTCCTTACTCTGTCTCTAAAAGTCAATAAGTAAAAAGAATCAACCAATGAATGCATAAATAAGTGGAACAACAAATCAATGCCTCTCTTTCCCTCCCCACTCCTCTCTCTCTCCAAATAATTATAAATAAATTAAAATTAAAATAAATAAAGAAAATAAGTCTCACTTCCAGTGAAGGAATGATGAACTGATAGCACAGGTTTACCTCCCCACTCTGCTACGACCCCAGTCAAAAGACATTAAAGGAATGTTAAACAAGTATCCACCCAGAAAGGCAGAATGGGAGAAAGGATTCAGACAATGAGAGACTTCAACAAATCCCTGCAAAGTACTTTGAGGCTCCGGGGGCCCACGGGGTGACCTGGGGTTTCCCTTCTGGAGAAATCAAGCACAGTTCCAGGTCACTGCACACAAAATCAGTCCTGAATAACCAGCTCTCCCAATGGCCCATTCACTAAGTTTACTTCTTTCTTTTAACTACTTTGCTTTAATTTTCCTTGTCTTCATAATGGTCTTTTAAGGACTGTCCAACTTGTCCCCACCCCAAAATCCTGCTGTTGGGAGTTAAGAGACAGAGAGATGGGGAGAAGGGAGACAGAAGAGCATGGATAAATTCTTTCATTTATACAAATCAGATTACTCAGAAAGAAATGAAAATCACACTGACATCAGACGTCTGTCAGCCACACTGAAAGCTAGAAAATAATAAAGCAATGTCTACAGAACAGCCAATCTAGATTAGATAATGGCCATGGGAGCTCAGGATCTACGGGAAGAAGTGGATTCTACACAGTCTGTTTAACAGAAGACTGGATAAACAAAAATTACTCAGTAGTGTCTCCTACTGAGGACTAGTTCAATCACTTTCTGCTGGAAGGGTAAGCTGCTGCTCTTTCTGGAGGAAAATCTGGCAGCAGATCCCAGACTTTAAAGCATGCCAACCCTCTGACCCAGTAACCCATGACAGGAAATTCATCCTATAGATATACTCAGAGTGTAAAATTAAATATTTACCATACTATTCACTGTAGAATTGTAATAGCAAAACCTGGGAAGCATCGTGTATGCCCCAGAGTTAAGTGACCAGAGGTACAGCCATACCATGGCATACTGTACAGCCCTTACAAAGAAGGAGGTTCTTTTTAGAAGTATTAACATGGAGCAGTGTCTACCACATGCTGTTAAATGCGAAAAGCAAATGGCCACAGACCATGTAGAGCAAGCATGTCAAACTCACAGCCCACAGGCTGCATGCAGCCCACAATGAATATTTTTGCGGCCCAGACAATATAACAGCATGTAAGAAATGTTTTAATAAAAGTTTTGTAACTTATTTAAAATATCCTGTTATACAGAATTATTAATAACGAACTATAATGTTCGATAATGACTGGTTACTATAATCGTGTTGCATTCTTTTTCCTTTTCTCTCCACTAATTTCTCTTCACTAATACTAACAAGCAAATTATTTTAGCAGCCAGTTGCCACATCATTAGTCTTGTACTGACTTGTGTGGTGTGCACAACAGGAAATATTTTGCTTTCGGAGAACAAGAAAAATAGTTTTATTTGCATTACGCTTCTTAATTTGTGCAGTTATTCAGTGTCTGGTAAGTTAATGTTCAAGAAAAAATATTACTTTTTATTAAAATGTTCTATTTTATGTTAATGATGACTCATTTATTTCAGCCCTTTGTATTCAGCATGTCTCTACAGAAATATAAACCTATGTTTCTATGAAAATTGGAGCTTTTGTTTTGTAAACTTAAACCTTATTTATTTGGCCTCTGTCAGCCTTTGAATCTGACAGGCTTGATGTAGAAGATTACCCCATTAGGCAGTGTATTAATAATGATGATAATGAATATTTATATATGTATATGAAAAATTCCATAAGGATATAACATAAACTATCAACAATTATTTTTGAGGTGATAGGAATTATAGGAGAGTCAATGCTATAGACAGTTCTGCATTATTTTTTATAAATTCTTAAAATTGATTTTAGAGAGAGAAAGGAAGAGATAGAGAAATTCCAATGTGAGAAATATCAATTGGCTGCCTCCCGCATGCACCCTGACAAGGGGTATGTGCCCTGACCAGGAATCAAACCCATGCCCCTTTGGTGCATGGAATGATTCTCCAACCAACTGAGCCACACCAGCCAGGGCTTCTTTAATTTTTTAAAAATTGTATTTTATTGGTTTTAGAGAGAGAGGAAGGGAGAGAGATAGAGATTGAAACATCGACCAGCTGCTTCCTGTAACCCAGGCATGTGCCCTGACTGGGGATCGAACTAGTGACCTCTTGGTTCATGGGTCAATGCTAAACCACTCAGTCACACCAGCTGGGCTTATTTAATGTTTTAAATAAATAAAATGATGTAGTAATTTGAGGTTCACTCCAGCTTCAGGGTAAATTGGTAAGCAAGATCTCTAAATGTTTGTGAAGCAAATCTCATCTCTTCCCATTCTTCTCTGTGTGAACCTGTAAGCCTCAGTTCACCCATCTGTAAAATGGGGAACTCAACAGTCCCTGCCTCAGTGAAATTAAGAGTTCGGATACGCAGAGAGCAGCACAGAACCTGGTCCCAGGGCAGGCCCAATGTAACGTGAATGCCTCCCCTTCCCTCCTGGCCCCTTCTGGTTGGGCCTCTAAGGGTGGGGGGTGGCTGGGAATCTAGCATCTGAGGTGGCATGTGGGGGCATACCTGGGGTCCTGGTCAAAGGTAAACTGTGTTCCTTGACCATGGTGCACATCCCAATCCACAATGAGGACCCTGTGAGCAGAAGAGAAGGGGGCGTTGTAAAAGATCGTCCAGGTGCACCTGGGGAAATGCCCCCACCAGGCTACCCCACCTGTGCCACCCCCATCACCGTTGCCCTGCTACTTGCTGCTGACCTCTGAATGCCATGCTTCTGCTGAGCATAGCGAGCAGCCACGGCCACGTGGTTGAACATGCAGTATCCATCCATAAGACTGTGCTGGGCATGGTGTCCGGGAGGCCTAGGCAGGACAGGGAAAGCCACAGATTGGGGACTCCTCCTCTGCAGAGGAACGGACTCTCCCTCGCTCTCTAATCCCGTTAGACCACCAACCCCCCCCACAACCCCCAAGTGCTGATGCCTACCAATCTGCCAGGAACTGAGTAACTGGGGCCCTTAGACTCTCACCCCCAGTTTACTGCTCTCTCTTTGAAGGAAACTTGATAATGTTCCTTAAAATTAGCAGTGTATATACCCTCACACCTAGTCATTTTGCTCTGAGGACTTAGCCCACAGCCTATATAGCAAAAAGGATAAAATCACATGCTTATAAATGGACAACAATATTTGTGCAGCATTTTTTGGAAAAAAATGATTGGGGAGAAATAAAACGCCCAACAGCAGGGAGCTGGTTAACTTGCTGTGGCACAGTGGCGTTCTACATGGGTCTAGGCTGCACAGTGAGAGAGTAGCTTTCTGAAATGGCTAAGTGGAAAATGCCTGGGATGGAAGGGAACATCTTGAATGCTGGAGCCCTCCCCTAAAATAGGGAGGAAGGAGAAAGGCTCCATCTTCTGCCTTTCATCAGTTCTTAGGGTGCCAACAATGATAAGATGCACTGTGATTTTTACATGCCGACAACAAAGCAGAAACTGCTGCCAACTGAATTCTAAGATGCCACTGTTTACAAGATGCATCTGAATTTCAAGATGTTACCAATATGACAAATATGCGTCTCAGAATCAACGAAATATGGTATTTACTCCGTGAGAACGCAGACTATTTCTGGGGCACACATGAGTTCCTGGTTACAGTGACTACCTCGAGGAGAGGAAGCATGTGCCTGGGGGACGGGGTGGGAGGGAGACTTTTTCTTGTACGCCCATTTGCATTTTAAGCATGCAAATACCCTACCCTTACAAATATACTACCCATTGTCCATACATTTTACAATGGACGGAAGAAAATTTTTTTTTTTTATCGTAAAAACCCAAATGCTGACAGGTCCTACCTGACAATAGCCATGCCATTCCTGATTTCAGCCCCCAGGACCGCATCCACCAGCCTGAGGACGGAGCCTGAGGCCAGGCAGGCACAGGTGTATGAGTTCTGGAGAGACAGTGGGGAGCCAGAGAGGGAGTGAGGGAGAGGTCAGCTCTGTCCACGCAGCTGCTTCCCCTGCGGTGGGGGTGGGAGGTAGGGATGGGCACCCCCAGGATGGCTACCACCCTCTGCCCTCACAGTGCTTATCCCTACCGGATGCAGATAAACTGAGTCGTAGGTGTCAGCGAGGCCTCGCAGTTCTCCCTCATTCATGTATTGGGTTGTCTCCATCAGATCTATATATTCCAGGCTGGGGATACAGACGGGGAAGATAAGATTCAAGGTTCTGCCTCCCTCCTTGGCCCTGAGCTGGGGCCCTGCTTCCTCCCCAGATAAGCCCTTTATGTACCAGACCCCTGGACAAGCCAGACTTCCTCAATTAAAAGCTGTTGTTTACATACCAGATTGTAATGAGAACAATAGCTCATCAGGCTGCTGATTTGTCAGGCACCATTCTAAGCACGCAACATATGTCAAACCCTCCTGAGGAACTTGCATTCACTAGTCCCCCAGTTATTGGCGATGACAATGAGATTCAGAGAAGTTCAGCAACTTGCCCAAAGCCACACAGCCCAGGAGCTTCCTTCCCAAAGCATCCGGTCTGCCCTGGTGGGCCCAGGGTAGCCTCCTCCCCGTCCCTACAAGGTAACCAGAATTCACCTGTGAACCAACATCAGCTCTTCCTTTTCCGCAAACCGGGCCTGAGGAGACACAAGAAACAAAGGGCTAAGGTGCGGGCCAAAACCAGATCCTGCCAGCTCCTGCCTCCACCCAATGCGCTGGCCAGGGAACTCACCTGAAAGGACACACAGCGGTCCAGGAGGCCCTCCTGGATCAGCTGCTCCTTGATGGCATGGAGCCGCTCAGGGCATTCAGGGAAGCTGGGTGGACAGAGGTAAGTCACGTGAACACACAGACATATACAGAGACACTGGTGAGCAACACAGCTGGTCCTGCCTTCTTCTCCATCCAACACTGCACACCAGAAACTTCAAAGTTACCCCTGATACCTGTTGGCTTGGTTCTCACAACATATCCAGGGCCTGCCCCTCTCCGCATTACCCCCACTGCTGCTCCCATCATCTCCCACCTGGGCTACTCCAGTCAGCTCCTCATTGGCCTTCCCACTTCTGCCCTCACTCCCCCAACAATCCTTTCTTCCCACAGGAGCCAGACGCTGGGGAAAATCCAAATCAGATCATGTCCCACCTAAACTCAACATTTTTTTTATAGCAATACCAAAGATAAATATTTATTCTCAGAACTTTCTCACGGCTCCCATCTTATCAGCTAGCTTTCCCCGGCTGCCTAGACACTGCTCCCACATTATCTTCATGGCTCCCTCCCTCACCTCCTTCAGATACCAGTGAGGCATTCCTTGACCATCCTTTCCCAAACTGAAGAGTTCCTCCATTGTTCCTTCTGCTCCTCTCCCTCCTGCTTCAGTGCTTCTGCGCATCACAGAACTTTTGTTTCTAACACACTGTATCATTTACTTTGTCTTATTATCTGTTTTCTCCCTCAAAACTGTGATCTCCACACACACTAGAGTTTCTTTGTTTTGTCTACTGCCATGTCCCTGAAGTCCTTTGCCACTCTGAGTCTTCCATTGGGATAGGGGAGATAGATACCGAAGTGGTAAAGCATAGTAAGTAGAATGAGCAAACAATGGCACGAGCTAGGAAGATCTCAAAGATCAAGTGTAAGGGCGGGGGAGGGGGAGTAGCCAGGCACAGTCCTCTCTGAGAGTCTCCTTGAGATGTGAATGTTAACTGGAAGAAGAGAAGGCAGAAACGAATCTCTGGAGAAGGGATTGGCCAAGGCGAAGACCTGGAATTGAGGGAATGCCTGGCATGCTGGAAGAGCAGCAAGGGGCCCAGGGTGAGTGAAGTGAAGTGAAACGAATGAGGAAGAGGACTGGCTGATGGAGTCACCAAGGTGACGTGGAGCCAGGTCACGTGGAACCTAAGAGGCCAAAATGAAGAATTTGAACTTTACCTTGGAGATAATGATCTATCCTTGAAAGATTTTAAAAAAGAGAACATCACATATCTATCAACAAGTGAATCTAAGTCAATTGAATTAAAAATCTGAAGAACAGAATAAACTGGTGAATATAATAGAATCAAGGGCATAGAAATGGGAGGGGATTGATAATTCTCAGGGGGAAAGGGGTGTCTGTGTGGGGGTACGGGAAGAGACTGGACAAAAATCACATATCTATGGATGAGGTGGGGGGGGGGAGGGGAGAGGAGGAGGTAAGGGCAGAGGGTGGAGTGGGGACCAGATGGAGGGGAGCTATGGGGGGGGGAGAAACAATTGTAATAATCTGAACAATAAAGATTTTTTTTAAAGAAGAAAAAAGAAAGAGAACATCATCTCGCACATATTTTTTTAGGCTGCTGTGTGGAAAACAGACAGCACGGATGAGAGTGGAAACAGGAAACAAGTGAGGGGCCCCTGCCAGTTTAGGTGAGTGATGATGGTGGTGGCAGCGAGAAGTCAGATACGGAATTCATTTTACACTCAGAGACAAAAGAATTTGTTGATGGCTTACATGTGTGAGCAAATGGGAGGTGGAATTCTTCCGTTTCAGCACACATGTCTCTTTTTCAAGGATACTTTCTGGGAACCCTGGATGCTAGTCTGAAATCCTTACTAAACACTTTTGAAGCCCATAGTCCTAAGTCCTCCCGTATTAAACACTTCATGCTGCTGCTGGCTGGTTAAGGATCTGCTCTCCCACTCACCTACCAGCGCCTTGGGAAGGGACCCTGTCTGTCTTGTCCAACACATTTGTATCCCCGACTCCTGGCACACAGCAGGCACTTAATACATGTTTGCTGGCTAAATGAAAAGAACCCCTTCAAACCTGCACCCCACCTCCCTAAGTCATCTGCTGCCAGTCTCTAGGCTACTGCAAGAAAGGATCTGTTCTTGCTAATGGCTCGAAGTGTGCATATTTGTGTGGTTTGGGGACAGCTGGAGGAGTCAAGTCTTACCTGTCATCCCAAAGGCAGTGGAAGTCATTTAGCTGCTCATCAAACACCACGCCAGTACCAGAGTGTGTCTTGGCCTCAAGGGTTAGGTCCTGCAGGGAAGAAATGGGAGACACTGATCCACTTAGGGTCTGAGGCAGAGGTAACATCCCGTAATGCCCAAGATGGAGAACCTCAGGGTTTTGATGGTCACAGAAGGCTGAATTATGGCCAGGCCTCTCTTACCAGTCCTTGCATCCCCTCGATTAGGTCTTGCTCTGATGCTTGGCTGAGCTTCTTCATTCTGCCTTTCTTCTTCACCTCTGCCAGCCTGGGGCTGGGGCGGAGTCCAGTACCCTTCTTAACACCTGGCTTCTGCCAAACAGAGAGAAAGGTCAGAATCCACTGCACGGCCCACTGCTCCCCTTCCCCCTCATCAGGACGGGTCTGGGGCCTCACCGAGATGATGCTGGCGTCCTGGGGGGGCGTCTGGGGGCTGTGTATGCTCCTTCGCTGCCTTGCGGTGGTGGAATCCTGGCCGGTGGAGGTCATGGTCGGGGAGATTTCACCCCTGACGTGGTTCTAGGGGGTGCGGTGGAGGTGACTGAAGGGACTAGGGTATGCTGAGGACCCTACACCCCAGCCTCTCCCCAGGCCCCGCCCCTTATGCTATCCTATCCCACTGCCTTCCAAAACTCTCTCTCTCTCTCTCTCTCTCTCTCTCTCTCTCTCTCTCTCTCTCTCAGGGCTCTCTCCCTCCACTGGGATGTCTAGTCCACCTGGCCCCGCCCATTCCGCTAGACTCCACCCCTTTAACACTATTCTTTCTTTCAAAGTTTCGCCCTTTCAAAAAGCAATGAACCCCCCTAGATTCAGTCCATTCGAGGGCCCGATTTTTCCAACAAATCACGCCCCTTCCGCTCTACCAAACCATCCCCAGATTCTTTCCTTCCTCTCAGCCTCGCGCGGACCCCACCTCCCCACAGACTTGCCTTTTCCACCCAATCCCCCCGGAAAATCACCCACCCTTTCAGGCAGCCAGCCCCGGCGCGGCCCCCGGCCCCCGGCCCCCCTCCACCCTGCACGATCCACCTAACCTCACCCCTTCCCCGCCGCCCGGCACCTTCCTCTAGGCCAGATTCCGTCCCTTAACGTTTCAACCCGCACCGCTCCTCGGGGAACGGCCCCTTTCCCCCACCAAACCCCACCCCCCGCCCAAACCCTACCCCCGACGTTTTCCCAAACCCCCTCAGGCCAGATTCCAGCCACCGCCCGCCAACCCCCGCCCCCTCCGTCAGCGCCGACCAATCCCTTCAGCTCCGCACGGAGGCCCCGCGCGGCCTCTCCTCAAACCCCGCCCAGGACCGGCGCCGCCCCCCTCCCCGCCACCTGGGACGGGCTGCCGGGGCCCAGGCCCGCGCCTCCATTGGGCCCGGCCTCTCTACTCACCGCCCCGATCCCGCCCACACCCTCAGGGCCGCGCTCCCTGCGAGCTCCTCCTCCCTCGAGCTCGCCAACGGCCGGCGGCGACGTCATCATCGCGCGACGCGGGGCCGGGCCTGCGCATGCGCGGAGCGCGCGCGCCCGCCGTTCCACACGACGCCGCGGCGCCCGCCCCTCCCCCACCCGCCGCCGCCTTTGTCCCCGCCGCCCCGGCCGCCGGCCCTCCGTCCGCGTCCAGTCACCTCAGGAGCCCTCCGGACCCACAACCCCTGTGCCTTGAGGTGACCCAAGAGAGCAGACGGGATAGCGAACGAGGGAGTTAGGCGAAGGCGGCGCCTCTGCCGCTCGCGGCTTTCCCGCGCTGCGCGCGCTGATGACGTATGGCGCGGGCGGGCCGGGGGCCCTGAGGAAACTGGAAGGTGGCTGGTGGCCGTCAGGTGGGAGTGGTAATGATGCTCAGTGTGGTGAAGATTTTTCTTTTTTAAAAAAATATACCTTTATTGGTTTCAGGGAGGAAGGGAGAGCGAGAGACAGAAACATCACTGATGAGAGAGAATCACGGATCAGCTGCCTCCCGCACCCCCCCCCCCCAATTGGGGATGTGCTCTGACCCGGCTGCTCAGCCACTGAAACCACACCTGTGGGGCACGTGGTGAGGATTTTCGGAATCCATGTTCACATCTCCGAAAGGAATCACTCACGTGACTGTGTCTTTCCACAGTGCCAGGCTTATTAGGGGGGCTGCCCCCATAAGGAAGCCAATAGATTAAGGTGACCAGGCGTCCCGCTTTTGGCGGGACAGTCCCGATTTTCAACAATTTGTCCCGCGGCGTTTTAGAAAGGCCCCGATTTTTGGAAAGAATCTTTGTTAAAAATCGGGACTGTCCCGCCAAAAGCGGGACGTCTGGTCACCTCACAATAGATGCACACGCAGGTGACTCACAGAAAGGGGGAGCTTCAGCCACAGAGCAGCAGAGGACGCCCCACGAAGGCCCGTCACCCGTGGCCTCCAGGGTTGGAGAGTCCCAACCAGGCGATCCCAGGTCCCATCGGGCTCCGAGCTGACACGGGGTACAGCCAAGCTGACCCGTGGAATGGCCCAGGCTCTGAGTTTTTATAGCCCGCGATGGGCGGGGTCCCATTCCTATCGGGGTCCAGATGGGGTCCTTATCAGAGAGTTCCCACTTTCCGTTTGGCAGTCCCGTCCCGAGGGCATTCCGTTACTCATTGCCTCCGTCTTGGGCCTCTCGCCCCTTGCCATAACTGTCATGGCTGACAGAGACGCCCTGTGGGACTGTCAGACATTGTCCAGAAAGCCTGTCCTGCTCCGGATCTCCACGGGGCTGTGCACAGGAAGTGCTCACAGTGTCACCAAGATCCGGCTGCAGAAATGGTGGCGCGGGAGGAGTCTTACGGGGCAAATGAGGGTAATGATAGCAAGCGTTATGTGTCGGGCATTGCAAGCCGCAGTTCTGAGAGGTAGTTCCCATTATGAAGGCCGCTTTGCAGATAAGGAAACTGAGGTTACGTGACTTGGTCATGTGACCCTGGGCAAGTGACTGACCAGCTCCGTGCTTCAGTTTCCTCATCTGGAAAATGGTGATAAAACAGTGCCCAGGGCCAGGGTGGACCACCCTCCACCCAGTAACCTCTGCCTCCAAGTGTGTGCCTAGGCGAAGGGGGCGTTAGTTGCCCCTTTGTGGGATGGGGGCAGGGGGCGGGGGAGAGGGACAATTCCCTCCCACCCCGGGTCTAAATAGCCCCGCAGGAGGCGGGTTGGTCCTCCTAATCTCCCTTTCTCATTCTTCACCATTTCCTACCGGGCTGTAGGCTGGGGCCGGAAAGATAAGCGGTCTGGGGTTCAGCTTCGCTGACTAACAAACAGATTGACAGCCCCACCGCCCACTGGCCGGGCCCTCTAACCCTCCTGCAAACCCTAGCTTCGGCCTTCCTTTCCCTTCCACTCTCTCACTGCCTGAACGAGTCTTTTGTCCCAGTGGGAGAGAGCACAGCCAAGACCTTTAACCCCCCACATACTCCAAAGAGCACACAACCGTACAAGACACACCGAAGAACCCTCTGAGGCCGTGATGCCCGCCAAGTAACAGAGCAGGGAGCCTTGGAAGGGTCAAGGCCCGTTTTTCTGGCTAGTCAAAAGAGAGGAGCAGAGGTCCGCAAGCTTTTTCTACAAAGGACCAGATAGGACATATTTTAGGCTTCGTAGGCCACATATAGCCTCTGGCATCTTCTTCTTTCTTTCCCTTTAAAAATACAAAAAGTGGCTGCAGACTGGCTTGGGCGTGAAGCCTCTAGTTTGCTGATCCCTGCAACAGAGTCTTTGGTTCCCTTCTAGGGACTGAGTCCGTGTTCCTTTTGTGTGAGGGGTGAGGACAGATTCGTGGACAGGGTCCCGTCTCTTCTGGTGTTTTTCTACTGGGTCAAGTAAATGTCCCTGTCCAGCCCTAACCAGTTTGGCTCAGTGGACAGAGCATCGGCCTGCGGACTCAGGGGTCCCAGGTTCCATTCCGGTCAATGGCGTGTGCCTTGGTTGCAGGCACATCCCCAGTAGGGGCTATGCAGGAGGCAGCTGATTGATATTTCTCTCTTCAATGTTTCTAATTCCTTCTCCCTCTGTAAAAAATCAATGAAATATATTTAAATAAATAGTGGGGCATGTGCAAGAGGTGGCTGATTGATGTTTCTCTCATCAATGTTTCTAATTCCTTCTCCCTCTCTGTAAAAAAAAAAAAAATCAATGAAATATATTTAAATAAATAGATAAATGTCTCTGTACAGAGTGAGGCTAGGGATTCCTACAGTTTCTGTAATGTTCTTCCACTGAACCAAGCAGGGGTTTCTATATAGGACAAGACGGATGTTTTTATTTTTATTTTATTTATTTACTTTTTTAAGACGGATGTTTTTAGAAAGCTCCAGACTGTGGGTTCCCATAAACATTCAGGATGGGGCTTCTTACACTGCATTGTATGGCTGGTTGGTGCAGTGCAGGCTCAGTACAGGTGTTTCTGTACAGCTTCAGAGCTGTGTTTATACAGAACATAAGATCAGATATACATGTCCAGATTCAGTCAAAAGATGATTATTAGTGAGCTTAATTAGGCTACCTGTTGTAACAAACAAGCCCAGAATCTCAGGGTCTTAACCAGTAAATGTTGGTTTCTTGCGCATACAAAATCCAATGTGAATATTTATTGCTGGTTATTCATGGACCTAGGCAACTTCCTTTTTGTGGCTGTGTTCTCCTTTGAGTCCTTGGAGTTATCGCTACTCAGCTGGTAGATGAGAAAGGGAGGATTCTGTGAGAGGTTTTTTGTCTTTGTTATTTCTCACCAGATGATATTATTCCATTGATTCTTAGAGTGGAAGGGGGGGAGGGAAAGAGGGAGAGAGAGAAAAATCAATGTGTATATGAGAGAAACATCAACATGAAAGATACACATCAATCCCTTGCCTCCTGTAACTGGGGCCAGGGTGGAGGGTGGGGGGTCAATCCTGTAACCCAGGTAAGTGCCCTTGACTGGGAATTGAACCAGAGAACCTTTGGTGCACAGGCCCATGCTCTAACCACTGATCACACCAGCCAGGGCCCATGAGAGATTCCTATGGGCCAGGCCTGGAAATTGTGTATGTCACTCTGCTCACTCCATTGATCAGAACTGTCACATGTCCACCTGTCCTTGTAAGGGGGGGCTGGGAAAGTGAGTGAGTCAGGAAGAAAGGGGAACAGGGTTGACAAGCCTATAGCAGTGTCTGCTTCAGGATTCTGTAGGCTCCCCAGAGCTATGCTGTTTCATGTGGGAGCCACTGGCCACAGTCAGGACAGTGGCTCCTGCACAAGGTGAGGGTAAGGCTTCCAGAACAAGGCTGTCAGAGAGAGTCTCATCGGGGCTCCTGTACAGGGTCAGGAGAGTGTTTCCAGAGGGCAAGTTCCGGGGTTCCTATAAAAGATCAAGTCAGAGATTCCTGAAACCAGTCAAGTTATGGACTTCTGTTGGAAGTCAGGGAAAGGTTATGTGCAGAATCCGGTTATAGGCTCCAGCACTGTTATAGACAAGGCTTCCTGTAGAGGGTCAGGCCATGGAGCCAGGACAGGGATATGTCAGCAAGCCCTGCACAGTGTCTGGGTAGGGGGTCCTGTGCCAGGTGAGGCTGTAGGCGCCTGTATAGGCTGAGGGCTGAACTTAAAGCAGGGAGTCAGGCTCAGGAAAGGTTTTCCATGTAAGTTCAAGACTGAGGTTTGTGTTGAGAGTTGGATCACGGGTTCCTATGGACTCTGTGGGGTGGGGCGTAAAGTAGGGATTGTGCGCAGAGTGACCTCAGGGCTCATTGTCAACAATGGAAGCAAGGCTCCTGAACTCAATCCGGGTTCCCAAAGAGTTTGCAGATGAGGGTTTCTTATTTTTTAATGTAATATGTTTTTATTGATTTCAGAGAGGAAGGGACAGGGAGAGATAGAAACATCAATGATGAGATAGAATCATGGATCGGCTGCCTCCTATACACACCTCACTGGGGTTCCAGCCTGCAACTTGGGCGTGTGCCCTGACCAAGAATACAACCTTGTCTTCCTGGTTCGTAGGTGAATGCTCAACCACTGACCCACACTGGCAGGACTAGAGTGTTTTTTCAGGTGTTCATGGACGAAAGCAGCTGAGCCTTCCAGCCGTTGTTGAGCACAGTGAGCACTCAGGAGACGATGCTGCTTGCGGTCAGGAGCCTCTGGGCAGTGTGGAGGCCAAGCCACGGAGCATGGCTCAGCCCTGTGCCACCAGCTGTGTGGCCCTGGGAGAGCCACTTACCCTGTCTGGGTTAGGATGTCTCCTGACTCCGTGCAGGCTCCGATGTGGGGGTTTGTTCCATGGAAGAACAGACCCCACTTTAGGGGGAGCAGTTCACTCAGGTCAGTAGTGTGTTGGGAGGGAGTTGGCACTGGGGAGCTCCCCACCTGTGGGCTCTAAATATCCCCCCTAGAAATTATTTTGTCTCCAAATCTCCCCCTCCTTCTCTACCATTTCCCACAGGGCTGCATCAGGGATCTTCTCTCTCTCTGGGCTGAGAGAGAGAAGAGATGAGTGACAGAGGCATAGTGACAGGGCACATGACACGGGATACGCTCACACACACATGTTGTCACACAAGCACTGCCCTTACCAGACCCTCAGAGACCTCCTGACATGCTGCTAGGTCTCCACATTCCATCCTATACAGTCCTTGCTCAGCATTCCAGAAATGCTTGTTTACCAGATGCTGAGCCTGGTACACATGCTGTGCCTGGTACACCGTCTCCGACCCATCCTGCGTGCAGTCACATGAGCACAACCTCACATGCTGCCTCAGCACACCCC